ATTGTAGCTTCGTTCAGTTACGTATTGCTGTAAGGACGTAACAAAAATTAATATTTTGTTGGCTCAATACGAACTATTCACTTCAAATAAGTTTAACTAAAATAATATTGATAATTAGTTAAGTGTTAGCAGCTTATAATTAAATTTTGAAAAATCATCTGTTGTGTATCATTCATGCGAACTCACATAACATATTATTTGCAACATTTAATTTCATAGTGATAACTGTTAAATTATAGATTTTATCTTTAACAAATCAGCTCCATGTAATAATATTTTATAACTAAACTAAATATCTGTGTATACAAATACGATTCTATGAAATGAAATTATTTTCTATTATGGTAGAAAAACTGATTTATATAATAAAATAACTATGTGACTTCTAAGTACATCTATTTCCTATTTTATTTATAATGTTTGATTAATTCTCGGTGACTTGTGATATAAATGATTCTGGGCTTCGACACAAGCTTATCTCGGTGAGGATTTCAAAGTTATTTCCAGTGGAGTTTTAATAAAAATAAAATTAAGTTAATTTAATATGTGTGTATTTAATTCATAATGTCACTTTAAATTTATTTTATATATATCCAACTTATGACTTCTGTCTTGTCCTATCGTGGATAGTTTGGAGGGTGTTACTATTGTTTAAGTACTAGAGGTATACATTGATCGTGATGCAATATTATTGGTTTATGCGATGCATTGAAATTGAACCGACTGATAATGAAACCCTGACTTATGTGTCTGTATTCAGATTTAAACATAGCCAATACTGTTTTGTCAAAGAAAATTAACTTGGTTTGTTGAACAGGTCATGTAGATGAAGGTTAGTAAAATTGATTAATTTATGTAATTAATAATTACATAGTAAACAATTAATTGTAACTTGTAAAGTTTACAAGTTGAAAATTACTGTTGTATTATTAATTTTGTTATCATATATTATAAGACAATAAATTATTTATTTATTTTTTAAGGGATGATCCTCGCATGCCGACTGTTCGTGGTGTATTAAGGAGAGGTATGCAGGTGGAAGCATTGAAACAATTCATAGTGGCCCAAGGATCTTCTAGAACTGTTACAGCTATGCAGTGGGATAAAATTTGGTCATTGAATCGCAGTATCATTGATTCAATAGCACCAAGGCATACAACTTTATTGTTATCCAATTTAAATAAAGAAAATGCTATATTATCTTATCAGCCAGTTGAAGTTGTGGTAGAAAATGTTGAAAAACCATATAAGATTGAGAATGTCCCTAGACATCCTAAAAATCCCCAACTTGGGCTAAAAAATTGTGTCTGGGCCACACCTAAAATTCTTATAGATTATAGTGATGCAGAGTTATTAGAAGCTGGACGTCGAGCAACGTTTATTAACTGGGGCAATCTTTTAATCAAGCGTATTGAAAGGTAATATTTATCGATAGAAAATTATAATTTCTCACTCATAGATTATTGTTTACAAATTTATATCTACAGGAATCAAAATAATAATAAAATAGAGAAAATTTATGCAGTATCTGACCTTGAAAATACAGATTTTAAATCTACAGTTAAGGTTACTTGGCTACCAAGTACTTCTGATTATTCAAAATCTGAAGAAGCGTTGCCTATTCTAGTACCAGTTGTTTGTGTTTATTTTGATCATTTAATCAGTAAAGCAGTATTGGCCAAAGATGATGATTTCAAGCAATATTTAAATACAGAAAATAGTCGTTGGGAAATGCAAATGTTAGGTGATTCAGAGTTAAAAGATTTAAAGAAAGGAGATGTAATCCAATTACAACGTAGAGGTTACTTTATATGTGATTCAACGTATCAGCCATTCAGGTAAGTTTTAGTTAAGAAAAGTTGTTTGGTTAATATATTTATTATAAACAAATGGTTTTTTATAGTGTTCACACTGGTAAGCAAACACCATTAGTGTTATTTAACATACCTGATGGTCACACAAAAACAACTCCAATAACTACTGTTCCTGCAGCAATCGCCCAAAATGATACAAAAGTAATTATAACAAAATAAATTTATATTGACGTAAATAATGGCTTATAAAACATAGTGTTTTAACTATTGTTTTAAATCTACTTGATGGATTTTAATTATATGTAATATGAGTTTTCTCTGTTTTTTTTAAATTTAAGAATGTTTATTTTATTTGCTAAGTTTGTTATATGTTTCAATATCTTTTTTAAGTGTGATTTTGATTTTTGTGTGAATTGTACTGAAAGCTTAGAAAACTTTGTTAAATTGCTAAAATGTATTAAATAAAAAATGTTTAATACGACTTTTATGACTCAAGTTTAACTTACATATATTTTTATGTGATTTGAAATAATAATTCATCAACTTATATGTCTTGTTTAAGTTTTTAATGACACCTTCTGTTTTGATTTAAAATAAGTTAACAATACAGTTTCATGAAATTATTTCAATTATACTTTTGTTACAGAAAACTACAAACAAGAATGTTGACACATTAATCATTCAAATAAATGATCTAGCTAATAAAGTACATAGTATGAAGGTATGATGATTTCTTTTATTTTAAATTATTAATTTTTCTGCAGAATAATTATAATTAATTATATTTCTATTAATAACCATGTTCTATTATTTTTTGTGTACTTGTATTCAAATTACTATTGAATCATTGCAACATGCTGTCCTCAATATTAAATAAAAATAAACAATAAATGTTTGATTAAATTTGTTATGTACCATATTGTAATCTATAGTTAAATCTATTTATATCACTCTAAGAAAAAACTAAAAAGTTAAAATTGAATCTTTATCCACTTTGTGTTAAACTCATAGTTTAACGATTTTATTGTAAACCTTAATATAAAAACATATAGTTATCAATATACATTATTTTTGATAATTATATTTAATATTAACCAAAAAATTAAAATATTCTAAATTGTGCACTAATATGTTCAGTATTTGATTACAAATGTTGTGTATTTTATTTTTACCTTTATGACAATAAAATTAACCAAAAATGAAATTTAAAAAGTATTAATCTACATTCTACACAATGGTAATAGTTTGAAAAATAAATAATTTGAAATACAAATATTAAATAATGCATATTTTAAACTATAGGCTAACTTAGAAGAATCCGTTAAAGTTCTTCTAGATTTGAAAACTAGTATAAAGATAACGGGGTGACTTTCCTGCGGTGGTATTCCAACACAAAGCAATGATAAATCTAACTCTGAACAAAGTAAACCTTCAGTTGATGCAATAGTGACAAAAATTATTGAACAAGGAGATAAGTGACGATGAAAGTAGCAATGCTTCTAAGTATGTTTATTTTGACTAATTCTTTATCATAAATAGTTTTTTCTAATTATTTTATTATAGTCAGTTTAATTTTGTTTTATGATATAGGCGAATATGGGAAGCAGTTAAAGTTCTACTTGCTTTGAAAGCCGAGTATAAAAATATAGCAGGAGTCGACTTTCCTGCCGGTGGTATTCCAACACCAAAGCAAGCTGATAAATCTAACTCTGAACAGAGTAAACCTTCAGTTGATGCAATAGTGACAAAAATTAATGAACAAGGAGATAAAGTGCGATCGATGAAAAGTAGCAATGCTTCTAAAAGTATGTTTTTTTGACTGTTCTTTATCATAAATAGTAATTTTCTAAGGTATTTTATTATATCAAGTTTTAATTTTGTTTTATTGATATAGGCAGATATTGGGCAGTTAAAGTTCTACTTAGCTTTGAAAGCAGTATAAAAATATAACTTGAGTGACTTTCCTGCGGTGGTATTCAACACAAACAAAGCTGATAAAATCTAACTCTGAACAAGTAAACCTTCAGTTGATGCAATAGTAC